CGCTCTGCCCCAATGGGGCGCGCCCCCCCCCCCCCCCAGCACCTTGAGCCCAGTCCGGAGGAGTCAGCAGTGACAACACCTCATGGTTTAGGAATGCGGTCCCATACAAACTTTTTCTATGGTGCCCTGGGATTTCTAGTTACGCCCTTGGTAATTATGATGTCTTCCTTGTATTGTAAAGTGCTGCACACACTGTTAGATGCTGGCGCTATATAAATTCTGTATGATGATAATAATAGTATTGTAATACAAACCGCCTTTTCCTTGTTTCAGAGGTCTGTTATCCTTATACCATTTGATAGCAGGCATTGGGAAACCATTCCTACTTTCACAGGTAGCGATCTGCAATACAAGGACTGCGTCAGACCTAAAGGGCAATGTTATGTATTCACATTTACAAAGTGTCAGTGTAACATCTTTGATTGGTAGCTGCAGATTCTGCAAAATGAACAATGTATGATGTGTAAAGACACACAAAGATCAATTCTCATATAAGGAACTAGTGACAATAGTATGTTCACCAACAAGGCTGAAGATGTTTTGGACCATGAGTAAATCTTTGTTCTATGAGACATCTCTCTATATTTCAGCTTATTAGGTTTTCTATCCTATTTCACGCCAGTGCTGCAAATGATGTGTCTGTAGAACTATCAATGTTTGACATATATAGGCACACAGGAATATATTTTCATATATGGAACTAGTGGAACTTTTTTTTTTTTTTGCCAGCTACATGGACACTGGAGATTTGAAATACTGCGTCTGTTTTTGACCATTAGTAACTTATTTTGCCTTCCCTGGTTCCTTCCCCAACTCATCGTCAGTTTACTAATGACATGCTTAAATACAACCTTCCTGTTTTCATTACATACCTTATTTTAGACCTGGTGATATCATCACTAGGTCTCTGTGCTTCTCTAACAATGCAGGCAGATCATGGCTAGTTGGAGGGGTCGGCAGAGTACTGTGCATAGCTTCCTGAAAACATCACAGCACCCTGCCTCAATATTCCTCTCAACAGCCCTCAGCCCTGACGCAAGCAGTGGGTTGGCTCTTGGGAGAAATGTGTAAAACCAGAGTAAGCAGTTGCAGTAGAGGATCTGTACAAGACTAAACATAAGGCTGGAGTTCAGCGTTAATCTTTTCATGCCTAGCACTCAATGTTACCCATTGCTGCCTAAACTCCACCCTGTTGTATCAATTACATGGAAAGAGGAGCAAAATAGCTTAGAGCTCAGTGAGGATTCTGAATACCAGGCAAACAGGTATACACACCACTAAAATACATATGAGGGGGATATTTAACCTGCCAAAGGATTTGTAGTTCTGTCCATCTGGTCCTGAGATTTATACTGCTCTGCCACACAGCATAGCCAAGTGGAGGGCACCACTTTCTCTGTTACAGTTATAAAATGTACAAGGAATACAGTGATGTCCTCTCTCTGCTCCCAGCCCACTGACTGGACAGTGAAAGAGCAGCAGGGACTAATGAGGTAACCACTCTGCTCTCCCCTCAACATATTTCTTGTCATTACATCGTATGCAGTACACCTGAAGGGATCCCTGTTCTGCCCCTCCCTCTCCCAGGCTTAGTGCTGCTGTACTGACACTAGTTGAATTAAAAAAATATATTTATTTATTGATGCATTAATATATATTTAGTTGCTGTGATTTGTGTCTTTTATATCTGCTGGGAGCTCAGCTTTAAAAGGAAGGAAACGTTTTGGATTCGACAAAAAGAGAAAAGGACCTGCAACCCTGGGATTATGATGAGTGTCCCCTGCTCTTACCCACTACACTTATTTATAGATATTTTATGTATTGAGAAGGTTTCACCATATTAAATATGAGTAAACAGAGCACACAGAGCGGCTCACATCTGTCCCTGCCAATCAAGAGGCTTCCAATCTAATCTAAAATCTATTCTAAAGCCAATGATGACCAAACCGCTGTTATTAGTCATCAATCCGTTTCCTTTAACCCAATCACACAACTCACCATGAAGTCAGTACAATGGAAAAAGCAAAGCCTGCTCCACCTACCAGACTCTTACCTCTAGAAGCAATCATGAGTGCTGGTTCATACTGTGGGGTTCATTTATGACTAGGGATGCACTGATACCGGTTTTTCGGTATCGAGTACGGATATTTCTTTTTCGGTACTCGACGATACCAATACCGGAAGTCCCATTAAGAAAGCCAGGCAGCGTGTAAAGACTTGCCACCCGGCCTCCCAATTAGCAGGGAAGCCATCTCCATGCTTCCTCGTGACCAGGTGATGAAGCATAGACCCGGCTTCCTGATTGGCTGGGAAGCCGGCTCCATGCTCCCTTGTCACCAGGTAACGGCTGAGCATGAAGCTGGCTTTCTGGCCAATCAGAAAGCTGGGGGGCGGGTAATGACTCGCTGTCTGGCTTTCTGATTGGCCAGCTTCCCGACCAATCAGGAAGTTAGTCATTACACGCGCCCCGGCTTCCTGTTTGGCCGGGAAACCGGCTTTATGCTCCCTCGTCACTAAGTGATGAGGGAGCATAGAGTCGGCTTCCCGGCCAATTAGGAAACCAGGCAGCGTCTAATGATTCGCTGCCCGGCTTCCTGATACCAGAAGCTCAGGTATCAGGCTAGGCATCGGCATACTAGTATCAGTATCGGTGCATCCCTATTTATTACCCTATAACCCTACAATCCGCTGGGTGGATGCTGGTCACATAACACAACGACTACTAGATGATGCTGAGGAGCATAGGGAATTCAAACCCCATGTGTGTTCTGCAATAAAGGATTCTTCCTGCCTGTTTGTAGTCTTCCTCACAATGGTACAATTTCCTCACAATGGTACAATGGTACGGCTTTCTGGTCGATCAGGAAGCTGGGCGCCAATGTAACGAGTCATTACACGGCGCTATAAAGACTTATCTGTCCCTGCCATCTACTGCATCCTAGTGAAGGGAGATAAATCTCTCACATGGGGACACAACAGTAATACAGTCCTGACAGGGGTATCACCCTTCTTCATTCTAATTGGCTTTTATTGCTGCCTATGTCCCTGTGCAGTGAATTTCCAATCATGTCCTGTTCTGACACCCATCAAAGGAACAGAATTACCTTCATTTCTTGTTCTGCCTAAAACTTCAAGCAGTCTAAAAAATACAGTTTTGGCTGGAGTTGGGTTTTAAATAGAAATGACTATGTTTGCCTTCAAATCACTTTTCAACTCCTTATGAGCCATATGCATGAATGTTTTCCAAGCAGTGATCTCCACTACACCTCCAATCCAACAATAATATCCTTTCTCTTTGTTTTCTTTTTATCCTCATCCCAAGCATGACTACAAGATTCCTCCCATACAGCTTCCGTCCTCTGGATTTCCCTCTCATTCTATAGCTTAACATTGTTCTTCCACCTAGTGATGACTGCAGACTAGGGATGCACCAATACCGAGTATTTGGGCAGGTACTCGTCCTTGCCCAAATGCTCTGATACCTTCCCCGATACCGGAACTTCTGGTCAGAGGGAGATTTCCTCTGACCAGCAGTGGTCAGAAGGAACATGGAGCCAGCTTCCTGGCCAATCAGGAAGCCGGGCGGCGGGTAATGACTCGCCACGGGGCTTCCTGATTGGCTGGGAAGCCGGCTTCATGCTAGCGGAAGTGCTGGTTTCGGGACTTGGTATCTGTGAGTACCGAAATATAAATATCAGTACTCGTACTCGATACTGAAAAACCAGTATCAGTGCAAACTACTGCAAACTTTTGATTACCATTCACAGGCACAGTTCCCCATGCTGAGAGGACATAATATACACTCAGTGAGCCAGGCAAACGTGTTCACTCCGAGTACATGAGGGATCCAGATTATTGTCTGGGTTGACCCCTGATTCTGGGTTCATATCACTGCATTCCTCTTAGTGATAAATCACAGCCAATATCAGCAGAAGACTTCAAGATATTTGGAAAAAGAATGAAGTATATTTTTATTTTTTCCAAAAAAAACGGACTCCTCATCTGGGAGATATAGCCAAACGGCTTAGAGGAGAAAATCAACTGCTTCAGCTGCTGAGACCCGCGGAGAATACGTCTGTGCTAAAACCTAATCCCGGCACCACTCACTAAAAGTTTTCTACCAACTTCACTCTGGTGAGTACCCACCCGAGAGGGACAGTTCGGAACAATTCGAAGCACATTGCTGTTTTTGCACATTTGTACATTTGCACACGGAACCTACCGTTCACCTGTTACCTGAGAGGGACAGTTTGGATCAATCTCAAGTACACTGCTACTTTTGCACATTTTTATATTTGCACATGGAAACCACCTTTCACTTGGATTTTTTAAGCATTGGACACTGATTTTGACGTTTTAAACATTGTTCGTTTATTTATTCCATCGGAATGAATTTTAGTTGTTCTAATTGTTTTTTGTATTTTGGTTAGACTGGTTTTATTTATACTTGTTTATGAAGCTAGTCCTGCTTTATACTTATATATTAGCTTCCATACTGACCTCGCCAGAATCAATTATAGCTTATTCTTTGGCTCATACAGCTACCTTTAGCGCTTTGTTTCTTTTGATCATAATATACACTGCAGCTGTGAATTAGCAGGGCACACCTCTACATGCTGCTACTTTAGTTACTGCACTGTCACTGACTGACGCAGTTCTCAGACTAACAATCAGGAACAAATCACTGTGGCTCCTAAATATGCAACCACTATGACAGCTAGTTGTGGTGGTAACTTAAAGGCCGGAGGTCTGCTTACAAACAAACCTGTCCAGCCTACAGATAGATCTGTGTCCTGTACAGAGAAAAAAGTACGATTCAAAAAAAATTAGTCTTTTTAACCTGCTCCTGCTGGGGTAACGCACACTATACGGCAGTATGGCGGGTGGGCAAATGTGAGTCAGTCGGCTCCACTGTTCTGTGCTGAGAGTATACCCACAGGCACATTCCCAGCACATGATGAGCTGTTGCTGACAGCTTCCGGTCACCATTTACGGGACAGGCTCCTGATCATGTGACTGCTTTGGCAGCCAATCATAATCGGGAAGCCCTCCTTTGACTCTAACATTAAGAACCCCTTAACGGACAACTGGGAGATAGTAACAATGGGTAAAAAGAGCTGTGTAACACATGTTTAATAATGCTTTTTGTTTTACACTGTTGTCCATCCGTCACCTTATTATAAAATCAAATCAAAAAATGTACCCAATAAATGCCTGATATGCATTTAAAAACAATGTAAGAAAAGTTTAGACAGGATTTATAGTTACACTCGCCCACCCTTTAAACACATTTCTCTCTGTACTGTAGTTATTAATTTTTGGGTAACATTCTCATTACTTTC